CGGCTCCCCGTAGCCCCCCGCTCCGCTCCCTGTCTCCTCCGGTTCCCCCATAGCCCCCCGTGCCCGCCTCAGTTCCCCCGTACCCCCCTCCCCGGTGCCCCGCCGTGCCCGCCACCATGAGCGAGCTGAAGGACTGCCCGCTGCAGTTCCACGACTTCAAGTCGGTGGACCACGTGAAGGTGTGCCCCCGCTACACGGCCGTGTTGGCCCGCTCGGAGGACGACGGCATCGGCATCGAGGAGCTGGACACGCTGCAGCTGGAGCTGGAGACACTGCTCTCCTCCGCCAGCCGCCGCCTCCGCGTCCTGGAGGCCGAGACCCAGGTGCCGGCACCACAGCCGTAGGGTGGCTCCCCGTCCCGCTCCTTCCCGCCGAAAGGGGCTGCCTCCGGTCCGTCCCTGCCCAGCGCCGGGTGCGGGACCCAACGAGGCGTCGCTCTCTTCCAGATCCTGACGGATTGGCAGGACAAGAAGGGTGACCGGCGGTTCCTGAAGCTGAGCAAGGACCACGATGTGGGCACCTCTGTCAAGCATGGGAAGCCCAAGAAGCAGAAGCTGGAGGGCAAAGGGGGCCACGGGACCGGGCCTGGCCCCGGCCGGCCCAAATCCAAGAACCTGCAGCCCAAGATCCAGGAATACGAGTTCCAGGATGATCCCATTGACGTGCCCCGCATTCCCAAAAATGATGCTCCCAACAGGTGCGTGGGTGTTGGGGGGCATTGGGATCATCCGTCTCCTTCCTTGTGGCGCCTGGTGCGAGGGCTGCCTCCAGCTGGAGGGAAGGGGTGCCCCGGGGGGAAGGGAGGGGGTGCCCGCTCCCGTGGGGTCCCCCGCAGCTCTCCCTCACACCTCATCCGTCCTCGCAGGTTCTGGGCGTCGGTGGAGCCGTACTGTGCCGATCTCACCAACGAGGAGGTCAGAGTCCTGGAGGAGCTGCTCAAGCCGCCGGAGGATGAGGCTGAACATTACAAGGTGAAAAACTCCTGAGCCCGCCCAGTGCCTCCCTCACCCATCCCCTACCCTCTCTCCCCGTTCCCCCGCAGCCCTCGGCTGCTCCGTCCCCTCCCGCGCCTCACGGCGAGCGTTCCTGCCCGGGGACGATGCTGTGGCGGGAGGCAAGGCGGGGGGCTCCGGGAGCTGTGCCGAGCCCTGCTCTCGCAGATCCCGCCCCTGGGGAAGCATTACTCCCAGCGCTGGGCCCAGGAGGACCTGCTGGAGGAGCAGAAGGACGGAGCCCGGGCGGCGGCTGCTGCTGACAAGAAGAAAGGCGTCCTGGGGCCGCTGACCGAGCTGGACACCAAAGGTGCCTCCGTCCCCGCCCGCCTTTGCCCGGTGTAAAGGGCCCGGAGGGGCTGCGAGCACCCGCGCCCGCGGGGTAGAGGCTGCCCTGCCCCGCTGCTCACCCCTGCGTGTTTGGGGTGGTTTTTTTTTTCCCCCTTCCCGCTTCTTCCCAGACGTTGATGCCCTGCTGAAGAAGTCGGAGGCCCAGCACGAGCAGCCGGAGGACGGGTGTCCCTTCGGGCCCCTGACGCAGCGTCTCCTGCAGGCCCTCGTGGAGGTGAGGGGGCTCTGTGGGGCCGTGCCGTCACCCGGCCCCGTGGGTCAGCGTCCCCACGGCCCAGCGCAGTGACCCTTCCCTTGTCCTCCCATCGCTAGGAGAACATCATCTCCCCCGTCGAGGACTCCCCCATCCCCGAGATCGCCGGCAAGGACTCAGGAGCCGACGGCGCCGGCACATCTCCCCGCAGCCAGAACAAACCCTTCAGGTGAGCAACTGAGGTGGGGCCCTGGAGCTCGGCGCTGCCCGTGGGGACGCCGAACACGCCGGTGGCTTCTCTGCCCCGGTGACTCGGCGGGGAGAAAACGGCGTACGGTGGTGAACCGGCGTACGCGGGCCACCGGCCGCTCTCCGCCCCGGCAGCGTTCCCCACACCAAGTCGCTGGAGGGCCGGATCAAGGAGGAGCTGGTGGCCCAGGGCTTGCTGGAGTCGGAGGACCGGCCGGCCGAGGACTCGGAGGACGAGGTGCTGGCCGAGCTGCGCAAGAGGCAGGCCGAGCTGAAGGCCCTCAGCGCCCACAACCGCGCCAAGAAGCACGAGCTGCTGCGGTGAGTGCGGGCGGGGACGGGCGCGGGCAGGGGCGCTGCCCGGCGGGGACCGGCTCCCCGGGGGGGGGTGTGTGTGTGTGTCCCCCAGGCTGGCCAAGGAGGAGCTGCACCGGCAGGAGCTGCGGCAGCGCGTCCGGATGGCCGACAACGAGGTGATGGACGCCTTCCGCAAGATCATGGCCGCCCGGCAGAAGAAACGTACGCCCACCAAGAAGGAGAAGGACCAGGCCTGGAAGACCCTGAAGGAGCGGGAGAGCATCCTCAAGCTGCTGGACGGGTAGTGGGGGGCCGAGGACCCCCACTCTGCCGCGGACCGGCCTCGTGGCCGTGCCCCCGTCACCCGCAGGGTGCCGGCGTGGGACGGAGGGGACGCGGGTGACGGTCCCCTCGCTGTCCCCTGCTGTCACCACCCCAGGCTGGGGACCCCAGGGAGGTGCGGGGGGGGGCACCCCCCCCGCCCAGCCGGCGGCTTCCGCTCCCACGGCCCCCTGTTATTTTGGGGGGGGGGCATCAGCCGGGGCGCCGGCGGG